ATCAAGAACGGCTCTTCGGGGAAAGACTTCGATAAATTCAATCCTTTTCTCCAAAATTTTCCCGATGGCCTACTGGCACTATGGAATGGGTTCCCCGCCGAACCGTCCGCTCCTTGTCTCTCTGCCCCTTGTCTCTCTGCCCCTCGTCTCTCTGCCCCTCGTCTCTCTGCCCCTCGTCTCTCTGCCCCTCGTCTCTCTGCCCCGCGCCGCATCCGCTCCCGATTCCCTCCCCCCCCCCACACCAGCGCCGCGCCATGTCCGTAGGGATCCCCATCAAGCTGCTGCACGAGGCGTCCCCGCACGTGGTCACGGTCGAGCTTCACGTGGGCGACGTGTACCGCGGCACCCTGTCGTCCGTGGAGGACAACATGAACGTGCAGCTGCGCCGCGTCACGCTCACCGCGCGCGACGGGAAGGTGTCCAACCTCGAGAACGTCTTCATCCGCGGCTCCAAGATCCGCTACTTCATCCTCCCGGACATCCTCGCCAGCGCCCCCATGTTCAAGAGGGTCGAGGCCATGAAGGACGGCCGCCCGCTCGAGGCCCGCGGCCTCGGACGCGGCAGGGGCATGCCGGGAGCCGCGAGAGGCAGGGGAGCACCGCCCGCCGCAAGGGGCAGGCCCGCTAGACCCCCCGCGCCTAGAGGCGGCCGCTGATTCTACACCCACCAGCGCGTCCTGACCCACCGACATTCCGCAGTCTTCTCTACACACCCTCCCGCCTTTGCGCCCTTTGCTTGGCACTTTTCTGCATCACTCCCGCCTGATGTGGGAGCGCCTCACACAATCACCCAACTTCACATCTGAACACATGTTGCCCGCTTTATCGCCACCCCACCAGCGATTAACGACGTCCAAAAAAAGGGTGAATACATACTGGCAAGGGGCGATCGTGCGACTATCAAAGTTGCACAGCGCTGAGCAGAATCGCTCATCCTCTTAGCCTTCTTGTCGCCGATATGTTATGTGCACCATTGAAAGGCATAAATGTCTATTGCCGTGACAGAGCTAATAGAACCACGCTTGTCACCCATTTCAATGCAACAAGTCGCACAACGGAAATTAGACTGTTCGTGTCGTGAAGACTAATCACGTCCGTTTCCTTCTAAAAACAATACAGAAGACTGTCGTCGAGCATTTTCTACGCCTGCCTAGATTCCGGAGATACCAAAAGTAGCAGGGATCTAATATTTTACAGTACTCGCCCATCCGAAAAAGTAGCTGGTCCTTGAAATCAACCACTTTTGCTCCTTCGCCAGGAAAAACAGGCTTTGGAACATCTTCTTTATTCCCAGCTTCCTGTTTGACCTCTTGTCTATATATCTATGCAACTCGAAAGTGCGCTCGCAAGGTCCTGCTACTCTCCCCCTCTTTCCAATCGTGATGTAGAAACTCTTGCATGTATGTACACTGTCCATGTGTACTGCACCTTACGTCACGAGATTAAGCGTGAGCAAAGACTTCAAGCAACCTTGTGTGGTGGGCACGTGGGACATCTCATGTTGGCGGCTTGCGAAAAACCTCCAAACCGAGCCGTCACGCCCTTAGAAGCCTTTCCGAATTTCACTTACTTTATAGAATAGCAATTGCTTGGGCTCCTCTCCGGAGTGCACATGCGAGATTACTCGCAGCGCTTGAGAAAACTACACAGTTCTCACAAGCCAGGGAAGGAGAGAGAGAGAAAAGTCACACAGTAGAAACATTTTGATACACTCAAAGGCTGTAAGTTGCCGGAAAGGTTTCACGGAACAGCCCCCTTACAAAATGGCTGTGTGTAAGAAAGAGAGAAAAAAAGCGCTAGGTATGGTAGCCTCATTAGAAACAAATGATGGTAACGTACGTGAAAAGGTTGCTTGCGGAGGTTCATGACGCCCTTTGAATCGTCCGTGTTGGACGCCGTTGGATTGTTTGTGATAAGGAGGTAAGTTGGTCGAATCTCCATCAAAGCTGTGAAGAAAGTCCACGATGTCCTCACGCCCCATTGCTGTGGCCCATCCCAACTGAACACAAGGTCAGTCTTTGGTAGAAAATGAGCCTCCTCTGGACTAATATGCAGAGTTTCCGGGCTCCCAGCATCCGAAAATTTTGTTTGTATATCATCTTTCGAATAACTATCAGTGTCAACGCAATAGTACTTGAAGCCAGCTACTTCAAAGTCAATCCTTTCCAGTAGTTTCGGAAACCAAGACAGTGTGTTGCGACACGGGATATCAACAACTGACTTGATATCGTAATTCTTAATAATCTTAAAGACCATGTAGCTTAGATGAGTGATGTTTGTCCCATCTCTGGCTTCTAAATTGACACCCGAGAACTCTTTTTGAATTCCCGCTTCTGCATGCACTTCTGTGGGAGAATTTTTGTTCTTTCTTTTCTTTGATTTCTTCTTCCGTCGTGAAAGCGAGTACCCATCCCCTGTGCTTCTGCCCTCGTCTTTCGCTATTCGCACAGACCTTGGCTCGGAATCAGGTGAATCTTCTTGCGTTTCCGTATTCTCAGCTTCTGTGGTCCCTGTAGATATGGGCTCTTTTGCAGGGTTGTGTCCTGCTTCTTCATCGTTCAATCTCGATTCTTGCGCTGCACTAGGTTCAGAATGGCTTTTTTCTTCAAAGCGGTCCCCGTTCGAAACGTGTGGATGGACAAGCTTTGTGTTGTATCCTTCATCTTCGTCATGGGAAGGAACAGCATGTTCTGGTATAGCTGCTTCGCCAGAGTGTGGGGTTGTTTCCCCCTCAGGTCTACCCACATATGACTGTTGTCCATTTTCATGAGAATCCGTCTCAACCTGCCTATCAGTATTCATATGCCGGTCAGATTCTGCGGTGATGTCATAGTCATGACTATTGTCCGATTCCAACCTTGAATGGTGTTCATTGCTGACATGTTCAGAATATTCTTCATGCGTTGCCTCCTGTTCGTAGAGCTCTGAAAGAACTTGCCTGGAAAAAATGGCAGAGCCGAGCATTTCCTTCGTTGAGGACCGGTTAGAAATTGACGCAGATGGCATGGGAACTTTGTCCTTTGTCCGTACAACTCTACTCGTCTTTGAGCAAGGGAAGAGGAGGGGATGGCGGTTATGCTGCCCAAGCGTGATATTTTTCAAATCTTGCCCTTCAACTACGGCTCCGTCAGAGAGTTCTAATACCAGAAACCCCATCACTGATGTAACGGATATTCGCAGGATCTTCATAGCACAAATTGCCGTTAGTTCGCTCCCACTGCTCCAAAGCTCTCAATTGCCTGCTGAGAACACCTGTTCGAGAAGATATTTGAACTCCTCAAAGAAAACACAAGTAGAACTCGTTCTTTTCTGTAGTCTTCTATTCGTGATGTTGGTTCTTCATAATGTTTAGGGTGGGAACAGGGAGAAAAACTTATGTGAAGAAGACAACGAAAAATAATAGTTGTGTGTGACTGGAGTCCATTCAAAGCTTGCGCGGACGCATGTACTGCACATATCCCAATTCGAGTTGCGAGCGACTTTTACAGCCAAATTGAAAGAGGTACACCATGGCTCTACCCTTTAGGGGGTGCAACTAATTTACTATCTTGAGCCTTTTCACGTCTTAAAATAGAAAAACCAAAGAAGGACTAGGACATCCAATTTGAAGTTCGGAACATTTATGATAGAAAGCATTTTCACTCGCAATAAAAGCATTTTCACTTGCAATACTGTAAAATCAAAACAGATCTCTACCATCATGTCCCTTTTAAACTCTCTGTTCTTGGGGTTTCGCAGCAGCATCACCAATCTCTCTTCTGGGAGAATTTATTCCCTTCTAACAGCGATTTGGAGATCACATCTGGGACACAAGAAAGGAATATGCGTGATAGAGAAAACAGATTCTCGAGATTAGAGGCAGGATCTGAGGTTCTTAGAGAACCAGCGTATTCGTTGATAAGTTTCAACGTACAAATTGTAAATGGCGTTGCAATAGGGAAAGAATGAATTCATGTTTGAAGGAGAACGAGATTCAATCGCTTTCTTTCGTCAAGAAGTGATCCGTAGTCGTGAGTTGGAACTGCAATAAGATGTCATTCTTCTTGATTGAAAGAGAGAGGTTCCTTCATCGCCATCTGTCTAAAAGCAAATGGATTGCAAGCATTCTAGTTCTCTGGAATCTAAACTAGATTTCTGTGTTGCCTTACGTTTCTCTGTGGATGCCTTCTTATTCTTGCAATGGCAACATTTGCGTGATTGTCCTGCAATGCGGGGACTTTTGCTGGCCGGGTCGCTTGTTCGCTTCTCGGTCTTTGCTTTCTCTAATGGGAAAGAAAATTTCACATGGCGACTAGATCTTGGAATAGGGGCTGCAGAAAACTTCATCGGTTTCCACTCCCTGCCCACCTCACGCTCCCAGCATTTGCAATCGTTTCCTTTGCTTACACACGTAATGTCGCGGTTCTTCTTGTCCTGCCTTTCAAGTATCTTCCAGGGCTCCCAGTCGTCTCCGTTATTTTTCCACGAGACGCACGACCCCTTTCTACACGAAATCCTATACTTCGTCGTATCCTCTTCATAGATTGCTGACTGACCTTTTTTACATGGTATTTTATTTTCACCCTTTCCATGTTTTCGAATGCAAAGTGAATCACTGATCTCTGTCTCCACTTTCCTCCGACAACACTTGCGTTCTTGCTCTTTCTTTTCTACTTTCTTTTTACATTCCTCTTGCATTTTGCAAACGGCTGTGGCTTTACAGCAGGGCGTTAGTTTTGGGGAAGCGTTTCGCTCACTCTTCTCCATCGCTTTGATCGCGGGTTTCCAGTGACCACACCTATCAAGCTTATAGCACAAACACGCGCCGTCTTTGCAATAACATTTGATGTATCTTTTAACGCCAGATAACGCTGGCGATCTCTTAACTTTGAGACAACATCCTTTCTGATCTTTGTTTGCGATCTGGAACTTTTCCCACTTTGCACTTCCTTTGCGTTTTCTGTAAGAAAAGCAGAACGCGTCTCCGCAGGCACATTTGTACTCAGTGTTGTACTCACAGCGAAGGGCCATCTCAAAAAAAGCGAAAACTGTTGGCAATCTGAGCTTGGAGACTGGGTGATGATTGGAATGCGTCGTGTTCAAGCAATAAAGCACGAACAAACACGCTTCACCATCTGCTGAAGACTTCCAAAATGTTGAACAACTGCGAGTATTGCACATGCCAGAAAAAAACTGGGCTTCGCTCCTTTACTACTGGCTTATATACACAATGGTAGCACCACAGGCAGATGCACTCTTAGCTTGTATTCTTTTTAGAACCTGGTGATGCAAGTGCAACGACGCAGCGCAGACGCTTGCCCGGCTTGAAGTGCTTAAAAATTACTGTAAACACGATTCTCGCGTGCGCAGCATAAGTACATGACATCAGAAACCACATGCACGTAACGGATATTGCGTTTGCATTCAACTTTGTGGTTTCTCTATGATCCACGCGGGTCACTAAAGACTAAACGCACTCCTGTAAGGCAACGCAGGCGCAGCCGCGACCATTCAAAAGAAATATACTCCTCAACTAGAAACGGAAGTGATTGTTCTTGTCCATCATCATTTTGGTTGTTTTTACAAAAAAAAATCTGCAGTATGAAAGTAACATGTTGTACAGCTGCAAAGAAAGCATGCTGAGCACCAGTGCCACGAATGCATCCGTGCGTCAAAGATGGTGGCCTGGCGCATACTCCCTTAACATCTACATAAATTGAAAAAGGCTTGATGATTGTTATGGTCGAGACGGATCAAGGAACAAAGCCGTTGCGAAACGGAAGAACGAAAACATACGTCTAGCAGTTGTTTGGTAAGTATCTGAAACATGTATGTATATACATTGTATTACTGTATAGTTGCAACACACGTAGTGGACCTGTGTCGTAGAACGCCCAGCAGCAAGACATCTTTCTTTGGACATCGGACCCAAGGTGGATAGAAAGTTTGCTAAGAGATACGGATGGGCTCTTGCTGTTCGTGATGACTATCCGCACGTACTGGTGATTGCGTTTTAGAGTCTATGCACTATAGATGCATCAAGTAGTAAGATAATGTGGAGACGCTGAGCATAGCCGAGAGGTAAGAATACTTAAACCCAGCCTTACGAGTAAAGAGAGAGCTATCAGAGGATCAAACAAGCAAAGAATTATCTGCTGATTCAGCGAATATACATTTTCTAAAACCACTTTCCTTTGCTTTCTTTCAAACCTGCACCTTGTTGAAGATCGGTATGTTGCTCGTAACAGAGCATGCTGTACTAATAATATCTTCGAGTGCCGCAAACTGCATTTTCCTTGACAACTTCTTTCATATTCTTGTTTATATTTTCTTCATTTGTGACTGTGTACTTATGTCCGAATAAAAAGCTTATGCTCATGAATCGTTAAAGAAAGCAGCAGCTCTGTGATGCAAGGTCTAAATCTTGAGTTCTTCAAACAAGTAGATATTTGTTGCGCTCATGAAGAGTGAGGAGTAGTGCGAATGTATCGGGAAACAATTAATCGGTAGAACAACAGCAACTCTTCCAGCCCCTTGCAGAGATTTGTGGTATCGACAGAATCTTATTTGTTCGATACATATGTACGGACACTAGATATTGAGCTGACGTTGGATGTTGCACATCTCGACAGCTACAGATTCTCATGTATTTGCTCATGAACTTGACAGGAATGAAGTGTTTGCTTTTGGGACCACTATTGAATTGTTGTCTGGAGGTAAGAAGCTCGTTTCAATCTTTAAAAACTAAAATAACAACATGTGATCTGGGAGTATCACGGTTTATCAACATTTTCCTCTTGGACACACTTTGATGCTTATTTGTTCGGTAATTCTCGCACTGTTGTATGCTTACCAATCATGCCTGAAACATTAGGTCTCGCCTTTTGAATTCACTAGTCAAGCGACTCGCTTTTGCATGGAGCGCCATTACTGTATTGTACAAGACTTGAGCAATACTCACTGGAGAAACGGGACACGTCAAGGTGCCACGTCCAAGACGGACATGATGCGAAAAACGATTTTAGTTTGACCCGGTCGATTGAGCTACAATGGTCTGCCCACGCACCTTCCAATATCGTTGTTTATGTCGGGCCAAGAGTCGTCCCTTGTCAATCAAGCTTTTTTGTTTTCAAGTGATGTACGTCTGCAAGGACAAAATACGTGAAGAAAGTGTCCAAGCCCTTGTGTGAATCAAACAGTCTTTTGACAGATGCATTACAGAGGGACCACTTGTATGGGGTTCAACGGGATTCTAGTTTACCAACCGACAGTAGCATCTCTTAACCGTGCTTGCTTGTCTACACATGAACCTGCAGTCGACCGTTGGTTGGGCTATGCAAATCTCTGCTGCGACTGCAAAGCGGAACAACTGAGAGAATCCTATTTTCATTAGATTCATACTGTATTAAAGAGCACAGTATTTCGAATGTAATAAGTACCTGTATAGTGAGCAGTGCAGTGCACAGTGTGCCGTAGTGAGTAACGTCGTGAGTACTGGCAATTACGTGTAATGCGGTGAATATAACGACGCTGGCAACTGCAGTCTGGAAAGGGAAGACTTTCTGTGCACCTGTACTGGAGGCTTCTAGTGCAAGGCATTCCTAAGAGAGGGTTTGCACGCAAGAGGCGTTTGTAATCTGAGTACAAAACATCTGCGCCAGACATGCAATCTCGCAGACCTCCCGTTCACGCGGAGTCATGCAAGTACCGTAGTCTGGACAAAGCTTCGCACAGCTATCCGAGCTGCGAAAGAGGTTCTCCCTCTTGAGCAAATTACTGTAGATGCAATGCCGCCTCAATTTTCATTGATATGCGCTAATCTGCGCGTTTCGGATGACGCACTATTTTTGGCACATGAAACGAGAGATCTTAGGTTTCTTCTTTATCAACAAATGTTTCATTCAAATCATGTCAGAAAGGTTAAGCGAGAAAATGTGCGGGTGCTAATAAGTTGCTACAGATGTTGATGGTAGTTTCCTCGACTGATAGGGTAATGTAGGAGGACGGAAGAAAAGGGTGGGAAAAAGCTGTTCGTTCTAGTTTTCGCTGGAAACCTTGTTGCGATGAGCATAGCGGGCCCCACTGCTGGAAAAAAAAGCTAGCTTTTCTTCATCGGTGAAGACAAGACTTGATAGCAGCAATGGCATTGACCATTGCCCAAGTACCCCCCGTTTCGATGTTGCCTTCACAACATCTATTAGCAAGGGGCATCCCAGCAATCCTATACATACATATTGCTCTACACTCTGGCATGGATATGAGAGTGGAGATGTATGCGAGAGTAGCGCGGTTGCAGTGAAGCGAGACCACTCTTGTAGGTAGAACGTCATCTTGCAAAAGGGATATAGAGCTTAGAAGGGCTGTTGACCAATAACGTGAAAATTGGATCGGGCGACGAGTGAGTGTTCAAAACAGGGCATGACGAGCAAGCAACGAGAAGACACAAACACAGAAGCTACAATTGTAGCTTGAAGGGTAACGTAGTGGTGTGGCGAATCAGCACGGGTATGTATGTACCTGAATGCGACGAGGCGCAGAAAAGGGGATGTGCGGGGGAAAGAAAAAAAGAAAAAAAAGGTGGGATCACTGTTGATGCTGATGGTTTTGGTGGAGTTTACCCAGTCGGAAGCACTTGACGTTGAGAAAGTGGCAAAGCTGGGTAATAAGGCACCAGACTCTCCACGCACAGTACGCAATGACGGTAAAAAGGGCGAGCAAGGTGAGCTGGTCGGGGTCAGCGATACTGACGTTGAGGGTGCCCGCGGCGAAAGCATTTGCAGCAGCGACAACATACGGGGCGAAGAGGAGGGGCATGAAGGGGTAGGGGGCGTCGGCGAGATGGGCAAGGATTACGCGGGAGATCAAGTCGAACAGGACTGCGCCCGAGAGCCACATGATGAGGAGGAGCTGCCTGCGGAAGTGGTCGGGGTTGAGGGCGGGCCAAGCGACGAGGCAGATGCCTAAGAGGAGGATGCTAGCCGAGTGGCAGGCGAGGTGGAAGACGGCGGCGGGGAGGGACTTGCCCTCGGCGCGCAGGTGGCGGATGACGGCGATGGCGTTGCCCAGGACGGCGTTGGCGACGGGAAAGAAGGCGAGCAGGTAAGCGAGGTGGTTGGGCTGTGCCATGAGGGCGGGGGCGGCGGTGCCGGGGATGCGGAACGGGTGTGTCCAGAAGGAGGGGCCGCACAGGCCGGCGGCAAGCTGGAAGGAGACGAGGGTGAGGATGCCCTCGTTGGGGCCGTTGAACTCGCGCAGGATCATGGAGCCGGTGAAGTACTCCTCCAGGTTGGCGGTGAAGGCCGGGAGGTGGCCGAGCAAGTAGAGCAGCGAGGCGGACATGAGGCCCGAGCCCAGCTGGACCGAGGCGAGGACGCTCATGCCGGACAGGGTGACGTTGAGGGCGTCGCAGCCGTGGTCGAAGAGGTGGCCCAGCGGGGACGAGGAGTGGGTGCGGCGGGCCTGCTTGCCGTCCAGGTTGTCCAGGACCATGTAGACGAAGAGGGCCAGGCCCGAGTACGTGTAGGCGGGGGACGGGGCGGCGGTGTCTAAGGTCGGAACGTGGTACATGAGCAGGATGTGGCCTGAGATGGTGATGAGGAAGCCCAGGAAGGTGACGAGGTTGGGGGCCATCCACAGGGGGACGAGGTGGATCAGGCGGGTGTACAGCGGACCCATGATGTACTTGTACGTGAGCGACCGGTCCTCGCCGCTGTACTTGTACTCAGTGAGGGCGTGCAGCTGGTGC